TTATTTTTAACCACCCTTGAAATTTCACAGAAAGAACCTTCAAATGCTAGAGAATTTGTGAAATGATGCCTAGAAATTACACCGACAGTTTTTTTATTGTCAAATAAGCATAGAAAGCAAATTTAAGCAAAATTTTATTTATAAAATTTGGGTGCGTGACCTACTATTATAAAATGATCTGCGTGACATCTCGACTGACTGTTAAATTTAAACTTACGTCAGTTAAAATAACTTGAGTAAATTACCCATCTCTAACTATAGTTTCATTAGTAAAATTTTGAGTGATCTTGGGCAAAATTAATAAACGTCGGTGCAACCGATCCATAATTCGGGCCGATCTGCTGATTTTTGTTTCTCCGCTAATCTATCCTTGCATCTGTGCCTATGATATGCCTGTGCCTTTTGTTAAGCATGGACACCTGCCGGGCTTGCAGATCCCTAATTTGAAGGTATATAAAATAGAACCCGCAACTATAAAAGTTAATGGTCCTTCAAAATTATCTGACAGTTTATGCTTATGAAGAACCATTAGCGAAATTATGGAACTCAAGTAGGTTCTAAACCAGAATAAACTAAGGCGAGACCAACTCGATTTGGTGGTTTACATTAACATCCCTTTTTCAAAAGAGGGTATACATAATAAATTTTTTTTCAATCGGAAATTATTGGCCTGACCTTGCTCGTCTTTTATGTTCGTTCGTTTTCTTTTCGGAATTTTTCGGATCCTTATAATTTCTAATCTTAATTCCTCCTAGCATTAGCTCTCCTATATATGTATATCCCAAAAAAATTTTTTTACTAAAAGAAATCAAATTTAAGATCAGGTGGTCAAAACAAACATGTAAACATGTTTTGTTTCTAAGTAAAAAAGTTACGTGTAAAATGAAAACCAAGAAAACCGTGTTATAATTAGGGTTAGGATTAGAACAATATAACGCTTATTAGGCCGCAGACGGTGGTTTCCTAATTAAAATTTTGATTTTTGTTTCGTTTCGATTTTTACGTTACACCTGATCCTGAAATTCGATTGGTCAAAATTACAGGGGTGAACAATTTTTTGAGCTAGGGGGCGTCAAAAGAGGGGGGTAATGTAAACCATCAAATCAAATTGGTCTGGCCTAACTAAATTTGAGTTATCACTACTTATTTTCGTTTTTCGCAATACAAACCCAAAAAAGGAAATTTAGTACCAAAATAAACCAAGTGCGTGGAGATATGAGAAATATGAGATTAGAGTTCATCTTCTACATGTAAAATTTTGTTTCCGACATTTTTAATTAATGCACCAAGGTCGGTTTAAACATTAGTTTTCGAATATTTTCGCATTCTTTGCTTTTCTCTTCTTCTTTTTAGAAATTTGTACTACTCGCGAAAATAAACTATCTTCGAATGATCTTGTCATCATGCATAACCCCCCTGAAATTGACCCCTTTGTATCTTCTTTCGTCATACAATTTGATTTTGGATAAATTCTCAATGCCAAAGAAATTTTTCACCAGCCCCGTTTTAACTTTCTCATTCCATAAGAGTATCAGTTTGGCTTTATGTCATTAGACGTTTTTTGAAATCGTATTCTCATCAGAAGACAGACATTAAGTGCAATTCTGAGGAATTTACGATTTTTAACGCATATCGAGAAACAATCGCTGTTTGTGCATCCATCATATGATCGTTCTTTTATCAATCTCGATATTCCTTAAAAATTAATGGCTTTAATGCAAAAAAAGAAACGGTTTACCTTTTTTGGTTCTCCACCAAAGTCACCCACTCTTGGTTCTTCATTTTTTGCTAGTTTTCCCTCTCAAGATAACCAAGAATCGAAACATCCGGTACTTGATGATGTGCGTAAGGCGGAAATTAATTTGGAACGTCTAGTGATGGCAGCTGATGCTTACCGAGATTTAATGGATAGATTAAGCAAGGCTTCCAAGAATTTTAGTAAAGCCTTGAAGGATTATGGGAATGGAAAAGGACTAGAAACTACGTATGGTGAGTGTTTAATGATTTCTATAAATGTTTGGAAATATTTGAAAACTTATATTAATATTATTGAATAATATATAGTTATGTGCATGCAGACTTCATCCCAATTTTACGAAAACCATGCAGATGTTTTAGGAAAATTGGTATTATATCATTGGTTATACTACAATAGTTATACCTTTTTTTTTAAAATTCACCATGAATCAACTAAATTTTAAATTTTATCTAATGACTAAATAGAATAAACTTGTACAAAAAGATTTTGACTTACTTCAAAAACTTTGGGACAAATATTCAAAAAAAGCAGTTGTAAGTTAAACATTTGTTATTATTGTGATTAGTATTCATCCCATTTTTATAAAAAAAAAAAAAAATTTAACCGTTTGTTCATAATTTACAGAAAGATGAAAAGGCTCATAATGACTATGTCGGCGACCTAGATAGGCAAATCAAAAAAATTGGCAAAGATTATGAGAAGAAAACAAAGAGAGATAATCAATCAGCTCTAGAGTCATATGATGTAAAGATTAAATGCGTATATATATATATATATATATTTTATAATATTAATCAACCAATACTCTTATAGAAATATATGATGTCGATGACTACTGTCGGTTCAGAAATTAGTCGTGCAAAGACAGAATACACAAATGAAGTAATAAAGCGTGAAAGAAAGACACATTCAGTTGTATCGCAAGCCGTTTGCCGTCTTACAGAAGGCCTTTTTGCTTCATTTAACGATTCGTTAAAGAAATGTGGACCGTGTATTACGAAAATGAAAGAATGGGCGCCATTTGCAAGCGAGGATATGCCACCACCACAAAGCCTAGATGACTTTCTAGAAGACCAGGTAGTTTCATGTGGATCAAAAAGTCCGGTTCACTATTATGCATTCTAACATTTTTATTATTCAATACGATTATTTAGGTATCATATCCTAAATATACGTCATCGGAGAAAATTTTTGAATCTCTTGCAGCAATATCAGAGAAACAGATAGCAGCAATGAACTATTCGTCTTTAGAATCCACATTACCTGAACCCACTCTACCTATTATTGATGATGATCCCGATAGTAATATTCCTACGAGATATGTGCAAATGCCATCAAAAATTTCACGAACAAACACTCCAGAAACCTCCAAACCAATACCTGTCAAACCTTCTACATTGTCTTCAGAAACTATAACACCTTTAAGTAGACAAATTACTCAGAATTATAATAATATAAATAATAAAAGCTCTCCATCATCAACTTCCAGTAGTACACTTTCACAGCCATCCAACAGTAAATCTTCTACCTCTAACTTAATCTCAAAGTTCTCCATCGGTATTCATGCTAATGATGATCCGTTTTTACGTGATGAAAAAGTTGTTGAAATTAAAACAGCAGAATTATTTACAGAGAACAGAGTTGAAAAGGCGGTATTTAAACCGAACATAATTAAAGTTAAGACGGAAGAAAAACCTATTGTAAAGGCAACGTCTTTTAATGAAGATAATGAAGTAAAAGAAATATCATTTAATCGTGATAATGAAGTAAAAGAAACATCATTTAATAGTTATAATGAAATAAAGGAAACATCAATTAATCGTGATAGAGAAGTAAAAGAAAATTCATTTATTCATGATAATGAAGTAAAAGAAACAACATCATTTAATCGTGATAATGAAGTAAAAGAAACAACATCATTTAATCGTGATAATGAAGTAAAAGAAACAACATCATTTAATCGTGATAATGAAGTGAAAGAAACAACATCATTTAATAGTGATAATGAAGCAAAAGAAATATTATTTCACCGTGATAATGAAGTAAACAAAACAACACTATTTAATAGTGATAATGAAGTAAAAGAAACATCATTTAATCGTGATAATGAAGTAAAAGAAACAGCATCATTTAAGTGTGAAGAAGTAAAAGAAACATTATTTAATCGTGATAATGAAGTAAAAGAAACAATATTTAATCGCGATAATGAGATAAAAGAAACAACATCATTTAAGCGCGAAGAAGTAAAAGAAACATTATTTAATCGTGATAATGAAGTAAAAGAAACAACATTTAATCACGATAATGAGATAAAAGAAACATCACTTCATTATAATAAAGTAAAAGAAACAACATCATTTGTTGATATAGTCAATAATCAGCTGGAATTACCTGGTATTAAAAAAGGAGAGACAAATGATCTTGCCATAATTAATCAACCAAAACAAGTAGAGAACTCACTTCCAATCATGACACCACCACCTGTTGAAAATTTTGTGCCTAGTCGAAAAGCAATATCCTCTCATGGAGGGTTGAGAAGGTATATTAATGAGCCAGTTCATAATCCAGTTCCTCATCGTTATGAAGATCAAGATAGCTACGAGTCCTATGATTATATTCCATCAAGATTATCAAGTTCGTATAATAGTTTGGATCTGCCGTCACCAAGACAACACGACTTGCATCCTCATCGAGCCTACACGGATCCTTCTAAACGCGGACCATCAGTAGCGGACATGAGGGATCGATTCATGTCGATGAGCGACGAACGACGATCAGTAAGTAATAAAAAATAAAATGAGTGCCACAAAGCAAAACCGTAATTCTTCATTTTCGGAATTTCGTGTGAGGTATAATTATTACTTATTATCATTCGGACACATTTTCAAGGGTCGATTTTATTATGAATTTTGATTATATTAAATTATATGTATTGGCAAATAATTTAAACTCCGTATGTAAATGATCTTTGTGGTTATGCTAGGTTCGCCCGTACTCTGTGAAGTGTTGTTAAAAGAATTATGGATTTTCGCTTTGTGGCACTCAAATCATGTATAATTAATTGTCTTACATATTCTGAGTATAATAAAATATTATTTACTTACTTCAGATGTCTCCCACTATTCGAGATTGTCCGATACCGAGGCATGGACGCGTAAGTGACCTAACATCAAGGTTTGGAGGCGAGAGAAGAAATCCGAAACGTTACGGTGCAACAAATAATTCGAGAATAACGCATGTCGATGATTATAGATATGATGGAGATGGTGGTTATCGTTCCCGAATTGGTTATATGGATAATAGGGTATGCACAATAATTAAATTTGAATAACAAAATTAAATGAAAATATAAATATTTTTTGGTAATTTGTTAAATTTCCATTTTACACAGTACTATGATCAGTCTCATGGTGATGATATATTATCTGATATACCACGTAATCATCATTGTAACTGTTACGATTGCCAACAAGCAGGGTTAGAAAATTCGGATAATAGAATGCAACACCATAGTCACTATAACGATCCAAGTTATATATAAGAAAGGGAATTAGTTGTGCATAATATTCACATATTGTATTTAGTTTTCAAATGTATTTGAATGTTATTGAATTTATATCATGATTATCACTAATTGCATTTTTAGTTACTGTACTATTTCAATGTATTTTTATTATATTTATCATTATGTTATATGTAAATTTATGATTTTACATTTATGCATTTTATTTTTTAAATTTTTTGTATGAATATTTGAGTTGTATCTTATATCAAATATTGAAGAATCCAATTTTGTTTAGTTTATACAAGATCTTGTAATTTTAGTGATTCGGATCAGGAATTTTAGAGATTTCTTGACACAATATATGTCTGAGTTAAATTTGCCTGATGTAATAGGTTTACTAGAATTGGAAGGTTGCAACCTTTCATTTCAAAGTTGTAATCGTTTGCCGTAATAGGTATAATAGTCGTAATAGGTTTAATGGTTGTAATGGGTGTAATAATAGTCGTAATAGGTTTAATGGTTGTAATGGGTGTAATGGGTCGTTACGGGTATAATAATCTGATTATGCTAACAAGTAATTGCACGACGCAGTCACGCTAAACCAGTTATTATGGATTAAAGAATATGAATTGCTAATTTCAAAAAACCAAGTACTGTACATACGTGAACAGATACACATGTAGCAAGTAGATTGCCAACCATGCGCATTGCCAATAACCATGAATATGTCCAAATATATACTATAAAGCTCTATAATGCGCTTGTGCGTGTTTAAAGTATTTTGATTGGCTTGCTTGTAATTTCAAAGCTATGACCTTCCGAGTTTATAACTTAACGGACTCAACCCTGGAAAATTTGATTGCTATTACACGTCCGTAAGGACGTGCAAGACACATTTATTTTTTTTACAACAATTACAACCTATTATCTGTTATGACATCTACAACGATTATGGCAATTACAACCAAACAAATATGGCATTACGACAATTATAACCATTACGACATATATACAACTTTGTATTAGTTGTAATTAGGGTTGCAATCCAGGTTGTAATTCGTAATGTCCGTAATTATTACTTACGGCCGGCAACCTTAGCTTATAGAGGACACACTAGACTGCACTATAAGTAATTGGCTGACTAGCTTCGGTTTCGTTCGACACTAGCCCCTGGCGATTTCGGAACCAATTAGCTCGGAAATCATAAGACCATGGTACTTATACGGTCCAATGTTGGAAATTTTTACCTGAATAGTTGCAAAGAAGCTTATACAAAACTAGATTAAAGAATGAACCAGACTTCATACTTCGTCAATTGAAATTTTAAAAGATGAAGTAGCGAAACTTAAAACTATAAAACAAATCGATTTATCAAATATAGATCTGATTGTTAAACCATAACCTCTAGATGATAAATTGTCATATTTTATTGTAGATCCAAATAAGTTTAGAGTGAATTATCCAACTAAGATTCCATATAGGACTTTCGACTATACAGTTATAAAAAAAAGTTATAATTTCAATTTATTGTCGCGGATCATAATTTAAAATGAAATACATTTTCTACTCAACCTGTTAACCTTCTAAAACCCACTTATACTTGTTTATTATAACTTTACTTTAAAACTAACCCCTAACCCCTATCCCTAAAAAATGCACCCCAAAAAATGTTATTTTTCGAGATTTTATATTATAATTTCATTTTGATCAGGATTTCATTATGATCCGCCACATTTATTAAATTCAACTCTTAGATGTTCATCATTCAAGGTTTAATTGACAAAAGACAAAACCAGATTTCACATTTTGTCCGTGCTAAGCACCTAGGTTCATCTAACAACTATAGGTCAGACTCGTTAACAATCCTATCCAATTTATAAAAAAAAGAAAATTTAATACGAAATATAAGAGGTATAGTGTGGTATTAAATCAATAAATTGAAATATGTTCAGACATGCATAAATGCAAGTTTTCATCTTACGGAAAGGGCAAAGGTAGGTTCTCCTTTTTAAAGGTCCTTTGCTGATCTTTCCATATGAAATTTTTCGTTTCATCATTACAAATTTTACTAGAATGAAAGTTATAAAGTTCTCTTACCTAAAAAATGGATTCATCCAGTAACGTGTCTATCTAAATTAAAATATAGACAAATTTTTCACAATTAGAATAATCAATAACCAAATTTTTTCTAAAAAAGTCCTCAGCCTCTCATCGATCTTGGTGATAAAGTGAGACCAACATAGTTAAATTCTGGATACACATAAGAATTATAATCACTGAAGCATTTCTTTTTATAAAATGATATACATACGTACTCTTAATAAATAAGAAAACAAGGCAGCTACAGAATCGAATAGTTGTTTGAAAGCACGTAAGTATCATATCATGTTCTTTAATTGCTATCTTGGCCTAGATTCCATAGATTTATTTTTTTTTGTAAAAAAAAAAAAAATCTTATATTAAAATAACGATGATTGACTAATTTATGTCGATCAAAATGTGACCATTGTAATCAATATCGATTGACTCTACTGGCGATCATTTGTGATAAACCCATCCATTCTTTTTGATTCATAAAAAAGGCCCACTTTTTTTGATACTATCCCATATGATTTAACCCTTTTAACCCTAATAAAAAAGTGGGCATTTTTCTATGAATCAAAAAGAATGGACCCTGTTGTGATATTTTCAAATAATTTTGCACATTTGTCCTATGTAAAATTTTGTGATTATTGCGAATTTGTACTGCATTAAAAACTTATGGGCCGATTTATGTGATATAAAATGTGATATATTCCTTACATGATTGATAAACATTCATGTGATTGGCTAATATTTGTAGACCTAAACACGACTATCGATTAATCAAATCGTTCAAGAAAATAAAAAAAAATTCAATATGCGAACATAATAATTAATTACAATAATATGAATAAAATTAATGTTTATTATCGCATTTTTAAACAGTAAATTGATTATAATTTTTCATTATCAACGATTTGACTAGAAATGTGTTCTTTGAATTTATATTGCCGATTAAATAACAAAACACTTCTAATATTTACTATCTGCCTTCGTATTTACTAACCCAACAAGCTTAATTTCTATAATACTAAATTAAAACAAGATACTAGCATTAATTATTTTGATAATATCATATTTTAAAGATTTTAAATAAACGATACGTGTAAGATTCTTTTTTAAAATTAAACTTACGTTGAATACCTGGCTTTTTCTTTTCAAGTTAACTTTTCCGTATAAAATATTAGATACATAAAGCTAGCAATAGTAAAATGAAGTATTGTCCTCTAAATAAAGTTTATTCGATATTATAAAACGCAAAGTTTTTTTAAAAAAATATTATTATGTTGGTTTATTCTACGTATATTAAAAAGTTATATTCAAACTCATCTCTTGATTGGTCGATAAATTGAAGATCTTAATCACGTTATTTGCAAATGTCACTTTCTACATATGGGCTGATCGGGCTCATTTGAGTGATATTTGAGAGGGATCTTCAACAAGCTGTACCAATCAGATCTATTGAT